ATGCAAATATAATATCTTCCTACCATTACAGGGCTATCTAGATGAAAAACAGACAATTGAATCAAACTCTATAGCAATTTAGTTACAAGGTGTTAGGTTTAATTCCTGTAACAGTCCAGTTATGGTTCTTAGAAGATTGCAAATGTTAAGGCTACTTCAGTGCTCTTTTCTTTCCTGTTCCTAGTGTAATCTTGCTTGATATTTATTTGGAATCAGGTACTTCAGTAGCATCCATGGAAGTTAAGTTTATTAATTTGGTATATTTCAATATTTAAATCCCATCAGCACAAAGGTCTGGATTTAAAGAAACAAAGGTCTGAACTTCAGAAGAGTTCAGTATTCTAGAAAGGCAATCAATACCTTTGTTCTTCAAGGCCAAATTCTGACTTCCTTCAAAGCACAGAAATTCCTATGGTATCTCAGAGAGAAATATTAATTGTCAAATCATACCCTGCCATCTGTTATCAGAGGAGTATTTTGGTGCGGTGGTGATCTTTTCTTGGCATATTTGCTCTTTAGGAAAGCTCTCTCTTTCCCAAGGCTGCTTATAGTTATGACTTTGGACTTTCAGGTCCAAAACCCAAGTTCTTGTTCATAAAGGATTCTGGTTAAAGAAAAATCACTCTCTCTTGGGAGAGTGGAATCAAAAATTGAGCATTTCTCACAGGAAGCAGGGAGACTTATCTGAATCAGGACTGAAGCGATGTGTTCAGGACTTTTGGACCTTTCAATGAAGACTCACCCTCGGGATTGCCTAAAGACAAAAAACTCCTCAACTGTACTTAGCATCTCTTTTCATACATTAATATTCCATTCAGCTGTAACGGTGGGCTAGCCCAGCTCTAAAAGGATTCAGTTTATTGATACTACCAGTGCAAATACAGTACAGAACTACTAAAAGAAATAAAGGAAAAGTTTAAAAAAAGATTTGACAAGGTAAGGAAACTGTTTTTGTGCTTATTTCATTTAAATTAAGATCGTTAAAAGCAGCATTTTTCTTGTGTGTAGTAAAGTTTAAAAGCTGTATTAAGTCAACGTTCAGTTGTAAACTTTTGAAAGAACCACCATAACATTTTCCTATATTTTGTTGTAATTTGGTGACGAAGTTTTCCTTCATTTTGAAATTTTAAAGTTTATTCTTTCTTCTTTCACTTAGCAGTAATTTGGGAAGAGTTTATCCCATCTTTCAAGCGTAGGAAGGTATTCTCAATTTGATTCTAATTTTAAACAACTTCCAGGTTCATTATAAAATATCCTAATTTCCAACTATTAAAATATTTTAGCTATTCTAGGCACTATACTTGATAACAGTAGTAAAAACAAACAAGAAATCTATTTCTAAAACTAATATTGTCTAATTCACAACTTTTATTCTCAAACTTTGCACAACATTCCTAGTGCTGAAATGTTTATTCACATACTTACAATCACTTATGCTAATAACTTGAGTATAATCCTAAAGGGATAAGAATATTTACTTACAAATATAAGGATTATAACAAACTTCATTCTATACAAGTTGGTTTTATTATAAGAAAGGAATTCAAGTTTATCACCTTGAAACTTAACATAAAGGCTTATTTGGTTTCAATAGTTCCATTCTCAGGATAGCGAACACATTTGTGTAGCAATTCTAATCTCAAAATCTGAGACTCTTTGGTGGAAAACATTTATGTTAAAAAAAAAAATGTAAGGAAGTATAGCAGAAAGTATTTAATTTACAAAGATGGCCCCCAGGATGTCTGGTTGGTTCAGACATAAGGAATTTTTCCAGAAATAAATTTGGAAGGTTCGTTTACGTTCAGATATCCTACAGTTTATGGTCTTATCCTTCCTTGGTAGCATCATGTTATTACTTCTCCATAGCTAACAGGAGCAGTATTTACCTCAGTATGGAGCTTAAATTACAGCCTTTTTGAGAGCTTGTATGCAACTTTTTAGGAGATGGATTAATATATTTATTTTAGGATTAAACCTAAACATCTGCTGGGCTACATCTTACTTTCCAATTTGGTTAACATATTAGTTCAATATCACAGATTATCCAAAGGGTCAGAGTAAGAATTTAAGAAAAAAAAAAAAAAGGGCTGGGGGTGGGGAGTAAGAAGGAGTGAATTAACCTTTCTTTAGACAATGGAATGCTGAAGGTGTTAAATGAGGACCACGTGATGTCTTTCCTTACAACCATATGTTTCTCTTTGAAAGTAACTGAAAAGACTCAGTTACACAAAAAAGGAAGAAGATAATAAACCAAGTCTAACATCCACAATTCATCTGCAGGTAACTGTGGCCTGAAACTCAGGACAGGCCTCTGGTTTGGTTCAATGGAGGATTCAAAAGTTAGCTGTTCCGTTATACCATTACATTATAACTTCTAAGTACAAAAATATCAAAATTGCATATTCTGGGGTCAAATTGACCCTTTTCGTATAGCTCCATTACTAGACGATGATGGTAAAACTTAATGATGCACAAAAGACAGAAGTGTTCAAAATAAATTTCTGTTGTTTATTTGGAAAGAAACAGGATGATGTACTCCCATCATATGAGGATGATGAAGTAATTTCCAGTGCATTAGTAACCAAAGAGGATATTGACATCATCTACAAGGGATAAACATTTTAAAATCAGCAGGCCCGAATAACTTGCTCTGAAGAGTTCTAAAAGAGTTGGCTGAGAAGATCTCTGGCCTGCTGATGTTAATTTTTTATTAAACTTTGGAATACTGGGGAAATTCCAGAAGATTAAAGAAGTGGTGAATCTAGTGCCAATATTCAAACAAAGTCAGCAGAATGACCCAGGTAACTATCAGCAGGTTAGATTGACATAAATCCTTAGTAAAATAATAGAAAAGCTGATAGGACGTTGAATTGATAAAGGATATTAATATGATTAATGCCAGTCAACGGGATTTTATGGAAAACAGGTCCTGTCAAACAAACCAGATTTCATTCTTTGAGATTACAAGTTTGGTTGATAAAGGTAATATACATAGACTTTTGCAAGACATTTGATTTAGTACCATACAACATTCTAACTAAAAAATGAACATTATAAAATATCAGTAGAGTATACATTAAATGGATTAAGAACTGGCTGTGGAAGTAGTGTGTTTTTAGTAGGGTTCTACAAAGACTAGTACTAGGTCTGATGCTAGTCAACATTTTCACTAATGGTCTGGAAGTAAATAGAAAGGTATTGCTGATAAAATATGCAGATGACAAAGATTGGTGGAGTGGTAAATAATAAGGAGAAGATAGTCAGACAATCAACCAACCTGTATCAACTGGTAGACTCGGCCCATTTGAACAAAATGCATTTTTAACACATCTGAATGTAAAGTTACAGATCTAGGAATAAAGAATGCAGGACATACCTACAGAATAGGGGACTGTGTCCTGGAAAGCAGTGACTCTGCAAAAAAGGATTTAGGGGTCACAGTGGACAAGCAACTATATATGACCTCCCAGTGCGTTGGCAAAATGGACTAAAGTGATCCTTGGATACATAAACAACGGAACAAGTGAGCAGGAGTAGGGAAGTAATTTTACCTCTGTATACTGCATTTGTGAGACCAATATTTGAATACTGCATATAGTTTCAGTGTCCATGTTTTAAAAAGGATGTTGAAAAATTTGAGAGTGGGCAGAAAAGAGCCACAAAAATGATTGGGAGGCTGGAGAAAATGACAAAGCGAGAGACTTAAAGAGTGCAGCCTCACTTATCAAGAAGAAGACAGATCACTTGATTACAATGGGGACAAAATGTCAGGTATTAAAGGATTCTAATCTAGTAGAGAAAGGCATAACAAGAATCAATGGCTGAAAGCTGACACCAGACAAATTCAAATTAGAAATTAGGCACATATTTTTTAACATGAGGGTAATTGACCACTGGAACACAATCTACCAAGGGAAGCGGTGGATTCTTCAACTCTTGCCATCTTCAAATCAAGACTGGATGTCTTTCTGGAAGATATGTTTTAAGCCAAACACAAGTTACTGGGCTCAACACAGGGATAACTGGACTACATTTAAGGGCCTGTGATAGAGAGGAAGTCAGAGTAGATGATCTAATGGTTCCTTCAGACCTTAAATTCTATGAATCTCCCTTATTAATTTGGCTGGCCAAGTTTTAAAAATACCTTAATTAAAAAAGAAATTGCTCCATATGTTTCAAAATCTGACCAAATATTAAAATACTAATTCAAACTGAAAATTTTTGTACTATAAAATTAAGAATATTAAACATACACGATACAAGAAATTAGTAAATTCATATTCTGATTCAGAAGTTATGGCAACAACAGTGAATTCCAGATTTTGGACTATAGTAGCTATTTTTCAAGAACAATACTAATGGACAAAGTTTACATTTCCCATAGGCACTCACTATGTATTCCTTGCCCCCCGACACTGGAATGAATTCTGCACAGGTGTAAGGTTACAGCCACATAGATCAGATTGCAGGATTCAGGGCTTTACTTTGTTTTGTGACCATATCAAGATTAACTGGAGTTTGTGTAACTAATAAGATAAATAAAAACATAATACTGCTCTAGACAGTAGCTCTCAATAGCATGTTTTCAATTGTTTATTTAGTATTCCCTCTCCTCAGGAGCTGATTAAAACATCTATTGAGAAAACTAGATATCTGGTATTAAAAATCAATACAATGGTTGCCCCGAGGGAAGTATAAAAAACTGACTATAACTCTAGAGAAACCTAACTTTTTAGGGATAAAGTTAAAATATTTTTTTAAAATTTTCACATTGTACATTTAATGGAGCAATACCAGAATAAAACAGATACTAGATTTTTGTGTGTGTACTGTAATCCATCCATGATAGTGAAGCTAGTCTTTAGGGTTTTACTGGGTTTTCACTGTAAGTGGCAAAGACATCCAACTACAACAGACTGTAAAAAATCTGCCATAAAAAATAAACCATGTCCAACTTTTCATATTTTCGTTCCTTCTTAGCCTTTAGAGTTAATGGATACCTTTTTCACATTGAGAATTTGCTCTTCACTGGATTCTCCAGCCTCCTTGCTGTCTGCTTCCACCTCCTCTTTACTTTCAGTTTCATCTTCAGTAGTAATAGGTCCATTTTCACATAATGGAGTTTGAAAATCATCATCAACCAATGGAGGGTAACTGTACTTGAAAGTATCCTAAAATACAAGGGTATTTAATTCACGTGTGTATCAAAAGGAAGGAAAAGTGATTTCACTAGCATAATTAAAATACAGATCTTATCAGGATTTTTTTTTAGTCCTTTTACATATTTCATTTATACATTTTAAGTTCCATTCGACCCATGGGCAAAAAGTTGATGTTGGGTTTTGCCCTATATAATAATCAAATATGATAATCATCTAACACAGCCACTAATTTATAGCTAGTGGCAATGTTTACATATTCCTAAAGAGATTGCAGAATTTGTTCTGAGTTGAAATTTGGTATTGAAAAATCTTAGGAGGGTTGCGGGGGAGAATTAAACCAAATTTTGTTTCTACATTACACGGAGGCAAACTTAAAACAAAATAAGAAAAAACAGTGGCTCTTCAGATGTTTTTTGTACTTCTGTAACTTTATAACAGCTTTGGTTTTAAAAAAAATCATGTAGACAGTTAGTCCATGATTTGGATTTGTAAAAAATAAAACAGCCTATTTATTAATGTTTAAAGAACTAGCATTATACATGTGCATTACCTATTTTAATACAGGCTTTTAGTCCATATCACACACACTATACATGGATTATAGTTAAGGCTAAGATTTTGTAATGGTTATTTTTAGTAAAAGTCAGGGACAGGTCATGGGCAATAAACAAAAATTCACAGAAGCTGTGACCTGTCTGTGTCTTTTGCTGCTGCATCTCTGTGGTTTAATATATGGAGATATACCTATCTCATAGAACTTGAAGGGACCCCGAAAAGTCATTGAGTCCAGCCCCCTGCCTTCCTTAGCAGGACCAAGTACTCATTTTTGCCCCAGATCCCTAAGTGGCCCCCTCAAGGATTGAACTGACAACCCTGGGTTTAGCAGGCCAATGCTCAAACCACTGAGCTATTCCTCCCCCGAGAGCTATCCCTCCCCCCGCCACCTTGGTGGCTGGGAGCTGTGGGGTTTCCCCTCTGCCTGCAGCAGCTGGAAGCTGCCACCCCTCCCCTTTCCCCCCCGTCCTCGGCGGCTGGGAGCTGCAGGGTGACAATATTTCCCAAAGAAAAAACAGGGCACCCCCAGTGCTTGCCCAAGGCATCCCCCTCTCCCTGCACAAGGCTGTCACCCGTCGCTAGAACTCTGAGAAGGGCCCCCTCAGGAGTCTGTCACCTGTCGCTGGAACCCTGCCAGGGCCCTGCTGACTACCAGCTCCAGAGTCCCACAGCCCCTGGGGCTGAAGCAGAGAATGTCACCGAGGTCTCAGAAAGTCACAGATTCTGTGACTTCCATGACCTCCGTGACATAAACGTAGCCTTGATTATGGTGGATAATTTTTAAAAAGGAGAAAGAAGGCTGGGAAAGTGTACTAATCTAAACACCATGTTGAACACATCTAGGCCATGTCTATGTTGAGGAAATTTATTAAGAAGTTCATACTGGTTCAAATGGTGGTAAAAACAGGGTCAGTCATGGGATTTCACCTACACTGCACCTCCAACCAATTTTAACACTGGTTGAACTGATTTTTTGGGTCAATTTCCCCAGTTCATAGATTCCTGTGAACCACAGGTTCAAGAGCCACCAGAAGGTACTTAAAGGCAGGCTGCTCAAAAAAGTTTCAGAGGTTCCTCTTGCTCTGCTTCAAAGACTTGGAAGAGGTGGAAACAAATAGCTTCCAAACATGTAAGAGTAGCCAATTCCAATGAAAGAGAAAGTTTTTGGGAAGCAAGGACTAATACATGACTTGATTTTAAACGTTCAAATTCGTTATGCTTTGATCTTTCCAGAGAACTAGTATGTAGGACAGTTCTGAACAAAAATGATATAAAGTTAGAGGATTTCCTCACTAACTGCTTACCACTGTTTTGTTTTGTGACTGTGGCACGTATTTTATTTATGATTTAACAAAATTTGTTTAAAAAGACACTGCAATCAAGATTTCAATTAAATAAGGTCCCAAGCTTTTAAACAATGAAGCCTTCAAAATGTAAATGAAATGCTATGGTTCATCATTATGATTTCCCCACCCCTGTTGATGCTGACCACCAGAATTCCTATGTAGCAGCAAGCCTTTTTACCCACGTATGCCAGGGGAGAGAGATATGGGAAGCAGATGACAGCAGAATCGTCACTTTCTACACACTCTCAGTTTCAGCATCTCCCTCAGCACCCAGAAAACACTCAACCACCCCTCTTCAATCTCTGGGCAGCTACTACTTCTCACTCCTTGGGAAATGATTCCTTTTGGATGTTTCTTGCAGGTACTGAGAAGAGGATCCAGAGAGACATCCTGCCCCTGCAGGAGTTTAGGAAAGCGAGTCCCTCATACTTCCATACCCTTGAATCCAAGGAACAGAACCCCCACACCTCATTCCAGCAGCTATCTTGTCTCAAGAGGGTCCCTCAGATAACCCTCTGGTGTGTTTTTCTTTATTGGCGTATTAATATTCAAATATATGTTGCAGAGGGGAAGGCAGATTGTCATTGCCTATCTCCATCTCTTCTGCAGAGAGAAAAGGTGATGCCATCTCCCTCTATGGCAGTGGTATTACTTTTACCCTGCTTGGGATTAAAAAAATTATTAAAGGAAAGTTACAAAGTTTAAGGGAAAAGGATAGGAAATCACAGAATTAATTACACCGCTACCTCGATATAACGCAACCCGATATAACACGAATAAGCAGTGCTCCGGCGGGGCAGGGCTGCGCACTCCGGTGGATCAAAGCAAGTTCGATATAACGCGGTTTCACCTATAACGCGGTAAGATTTTTTTGGCTACTGAGGACAGCGTTATATCGAGGTAGAGGTATCCTTTTATTAGCTTGGTGACAAATTTATGCCCCTTACACAAGTTGCTTATCCTGCATCAGCATTTAGACTGCACTATAATGTGATAAATAGGGGTGTGTAAAAGCTGACAATAATACAGTACTGGAGTGCAGTATAACCAGTTGGGCTTTACCTTCCTTTTAAAGAAGTTGCCAAGTACGCCAGGGGTTTTAGGACACTTGAGATGAGGGGCAACAGAAGGAGCTAGAAAGGGCAGAAGGCCAGAGAAAGGATTGGAGGGTCTTCATTCAATCATGGCTTTGGAGGGATGTGAGAAACAGCAGTTGTATGCCCTCAAAACCCCCTTTTTCCTATTCACACTATTAAAATTCCCAAAATGAAGTCACTAAATTAGGGTTGCAGAATTACTTCCTACCTTACAAAAAGAGCTATGAAAACTTTTTTAAAACTAACATACAAAAATTTGAAAATCATCAGTTGAGATTTTTAATAGAACTTAAATCATTAACAGTTAATTTGTAAGTTTATTATTATCAAATGGACACTCAGATACTTATCTGAAAAATGCTAGCTGGCTCTACTACAGTGTGTAATCGTGCAATTTATATGCACTCAAAAATTGCATGAAGATATTAATCATTACAAGGTATTTTAAAATTTCAATATACTTACAATTCCACCCATGTAGGCAGGCAGATACTCTGCACTGATGTATTCCTGCACTTCATTCTTGTTTGCAAACTTCAACATGCTTATCGCATCTGGACCAAGCCAACCCTTCACAATTTTAAAAGCAGCTAGACAAAAAAATAATAATACATAAACTGCCTGAAACAAATACTGCAGTTTTATCTGCCATTGATAGCATGTAAATAAATGCTCATAAAATATTAGGCTAAGTACGGAATTCAGTGAAATAGCTAGATATCCAGCTAGGGTTTCTTTACCCGTTATAAAACGTCCCACTAGGCAAAGAGCACATGCACGTACCAGGATTTTGCGGTATAAAAAAAAGAATATAAATACCCTGTGTGCCTGCCCCACCCCACTTCCCAAAGCAGTACCCCTCTACACCTAGAAACCTCATTTGGATGTGTGCTCCAAAACTGAGAAGAGGCTCGGTGAAGGCAATATATTTGGGCAACAAAAGTTATTGTTGGTAAGTAGTCAGTTTGTAACATTGTTTCCCCAGTGCCCCACTGCAGGAGACTAGCTCCTTGAACAGCAACTGAAGTACTGTTCACTGAAAATAAGCATCTAGTCTTGTCAAGGGCATAGTGACTTGTGAAGGGGTGTACTGAACTTCATGCAGCAGCTCTACCCTAGGTAAAGGCCAGGACCTCTGCTTATGAAAGGGATCTCTGAAAAGGAAAGGAGGAATGGTATTTGGCATGGTTTCTTACTGGAAAAAGTAGCACAGTTCAAAAGTAGCATCAGGACATATGCTACACATGAAAAAAAAAATGCAACAAACAATCCCAAAGTAGTAGGGTAAAAAGAGGATCTTCATCCTCTATAGCTGGTTTGGAATTCTCCACTGTATCCTCAAATTTGCCTAGAGTGCAACACCGGTTTTTGCAAAGGTGGCTGAAATAGGGGAAGAAGTGAGGCTTCTGGAGAATTCCGCAAGACTTTCGGTGTCTGATGGTAATTTGCTCCTGAGGATTGCTGGAAATGTCCTCTATGAACCTAAAGCAAGCTGGCTCAAATTCCATGACCCAGACACTAACATGATTACTTACATCCTTCCCAAGACCTCATCAAGCTATGAACTGAAGCAGTGACAGATCAAAGACTAAATATTTAGCCCTCTTGAATATCAGACCAGTAATTTATTTTGGAGAGGAAAGGGAAGGTGGAGGGAGAAGTGGGTAAGTTCCCAATTTTGGGTGGGAGAAGAGTTGGGAGAATGAAGCATTTCTCGGGCAGGTTTGTTGTTTTAAATGGTAGCAGTTTTAACCTGTTTAATGTAAAACTAAAAGAGTCTTAATAGAGATGGACTGTGCACATGCAGCAAAAGGGTAATTTTTATAGCTATGTGCGCATGTGCAATATAGAGGAATAAAACACGTCTACCCAGTTTGTTGACTAGGCTGATTACTGGTGTACACGTACACCGCTATCTCGATATAACACCACCCGATATAACATGAAGTCAGATAGAACGCGGTAAAGCAGTGCTCCGGGGGGCGGGGCTGCGCACTCCGGTGGATCAAAGCAAGTTCAATATAAAGCGGTTTCACCTATAACGCGGTAAGATTTTTTGGCTCCCGAGGACAGCGTTATATCGAGGTAGAGGTGTATCAGCATAGATATATATGGCAATTATCAATGTCATGCATATACCCTAACCAGCATAACGCACTATTTGGATTTCGCCATAGCAGAAAAACATTTACCAAGCCTAGCAAGTCTGGACCTGGAGTGGATTGGGGTTCAGGAAACCAAGAAAATGGATGCTTCAAGAAGTAATCTGCATATTAAGGGCTTCCAAGATATGAACGTGGCGGAGGTGGATGCAGGTCTTGATCTGCACTTTGAAGAAGACTATTTATTTAATCTTTGAGTCACAGCACAACATGCCAGGAAGCTGCACACTAAAGCATTCAATGCCCTAATAATTGACAAATGTCAAGTACCATGTGCTTAACTAAAAGAAGAATTTGGCCTATGCATTAATTATATATTTCTATATACACACACACACACACACACACACACACCCCACAACATTAAAAACATTTTATAACCCCCCCCCCTCCAAAAATCAGTTTATGTTTGAATTAATATATCAGAACAGGGCTTTTTAAACTTATTACAGAAAATTACAAATATTTTTAGTTTACTTTAACTTACCATTCATTATCCATGGCATTTCAAAGATCACTATCTTTGCTGTAAAGACAATAGGAAAAAGAGATAATTGAAATGAAAGATATTATATATTAACAAAAAAAAGAAGGGGAGAAAGCGTTAATATTAGAGGATTATTAAAAGCAGAACACTCAGTTTCCATGCTTACTTTCTTTAGGAAAAAATTAGCTTTCCTCCATTTGTCAAATAATAATCAACGTATACAAAACTATCCCTATGGTAAGATGAACAGAAGTATTAGGAAGCCCATTGGAAACTAAGGCATGTATTGTTTTGGTATACAAAAAAAGGCAAAATTATCCCAAAAGAGTCAGAATAGTTACCCACATCCTGAATTCAAAGAATTCATTTAAATTACTGTATTAAATAATATAATATATGGAGATATACCTATCTCATAGAACTGGAAGGGACCCTGAAAGGTCATCGAGTCCAGTCCCCTGCCTTCACTAGCAGGACCAAGTACTGATTTCGCCAGATCCCTAAATGGCCCCCTCAACGACTGAACTCACAACCCTGGGTTTAGCAGGCCAGTGCTCAAACCACTGAGCTATCCCTCCCCGCCATGGCAGATAAAAGATGCAAATAATATGCACCTTTATTGTAATAACTTTATCATTGTGTGAAATTACAACACTAATTTTTAACAGTTCAAAATACTAGCAACTATAACAGAATGGTACCTTCTATTTTAAGAAATAAAATGCCACTCAAACAGCTAAACTTTAAAACGTTCATAGCTACATTTTCACTTGAAAAAAAAAAAAGAATTTAGAAGTCGTGGAAGAGAAAAATGACAGTATTGGCTGAAGCTTTGTATCTATTCATAATGAAGATTAACATGGACAATGTGCAAGTTTTCCCCCCATACAGCCCCACCAATATGCCTCAACTCTGTCATGGAGGGATCATCTCTGAGATAATGGGGAGAGTCCATTTCCACTCAATCTTTAGCCTCTTGGCTGTTACAGAGTGGCAATTGTCATAGCAGTATCTTCCAACTTTTGGCCAAACAATGAAACTGAAGAGGAAAGGGACAGAAATGGACAAAGAAAGGAGGGCAACAACACAACTATAATATTGACTCTGAAAAAGAATTGGGGGTCATGGTGGACAATCAGCTGAACATGAGCTCCCAGTGCAATGCTGTGGCCGAGAGGGCTAATGGGATTCTTGGATGCATAAACAGGAGGATATCAAGTTGGAGCCGAGAGGCTATTTTACCGCTGTATTTGGCACTGGTGTGACCACTGCTGGAACACTGTGCTCAGTTCTGGTGCCCACAGTTCAAGAAGGATGTTAAAAAATTGAGAGGGTTCAGAGAAGAGCCCAGAAAGATTAAAACGGTGGTTCTCAAACTTTTATACTGGTGACCCCTTTCACGCAGAAAGCCTCTGAGCGTGACCCCCCTTTATAAATATAAAAAGAAGTGTTTTTAATTTAACACTATTACAAATGCTGGAAGTGAAGCGGGGTTTGGGGTAGAGGCTGACAGCTCGCGACCCCCCATGTAATAACCTCATGACCCCCTGAGGGGTCCCGACCCCCAGTTTGAGAACCCTTGGATTAAAGGATTAGAAAACCTGCCTTATGATAGACTCAAGGAGCTACAGCTATTTAGCTATTTAACAAAGAAAAAGTTATGGGTGACTGAATCACATTCTGTAAATTCCTACATGAGGAAACGAATATTTAATAATGCACACGTCAGTCTACCAGAGAAAGATATAATGTGATCCAATGGCTGGAAGTTGAAGCTAGCCAAGTCCAGACTGGAAATAAGGTGTCAATTTTTAAATGTGAGATTAATTAACCATTGGAACAATTTACCAATGATTGTGATGGGTTCTCCCATCACTGACAATTTTTAAACAAAGATTGGATGTTCTTCCAAAAGATATTCTCTAGGTATTATTTGGGAGAAGTTCTATCATGTGATATACAGGAGGGGCATGTCAAACACATATTTCTTGACTTTATTTTGGTTTTACCTTTGCAGTCCACACATGCAAAAAGTAATATTTACAAACCTTTAAAAAAAAAAAAAAAACCCTCTCTCCTTATCAGTTATAAATATTTATATAGTAAAACAACATTGGATAATACAATGTCTATAAAATTGTATCCCCTTAGAAAGGATAATATACATTACTTACAGAGGTAATTAGGATAATAAACTTTAAAACAGTTGATGATGAACCGAATGAAGTCCAAGTCCTAAAATAAAGGCAAATTAATAATAAATGCAGTAGAAATTATAATTTAAAAACAAATTAGATAAAAACTGACTTTTGTAATAAAAAATTTCTGAGATAAGTTCACAATTAAAGAAAAACATAATAAATGTACACAGGGTATATACAGTATACTAAATTTCAAACACTACCCCAACTTCCAATGCAATGCAAGGCCATGATCCTGCAAAGATTTATACACATGCTTAACTCTGTAAGCTGAAAGTAGTTCTAGTGACTTCACTAAGACTACTCGCAGTGCATAAAGTTAAGCACATGTATTAAGTCTTTGAAGAACTGGGGTCTCAGGAAAGGAACAAGAGATTTTCTAAGAACTACAGACTAACAGAAGAAATAAACCTCTGTCTCTAAATGGCAATGTGCTAAGCCTTTCTTACATAGTACAAGCAATGACTTGCACTGAAGTAAGACAAGCAAATTACATACGTTCTGTACATTGGAGGTAAAACGTTTAGGGATAAGAAAATTTTGCCTTTTATCAGGGGTTTTTAGTTCTGTTTGTCTTGATTTCTAATGAAATCATAGTTCACTAATATTTTGAGACAAAAATTAACATTTAAAATTCTATGAACAATCATAGTTCTGCAAAAGATTAAGGAATTAACACTATCTGGTCACTGCTGAAAATTCACAACCCCAACAGAACTCAGAATTTTTTTTGTTAAAACAGGTACATACTTGAGGCACATTGCAACTAAAAAAATGAATAAATAAATAAAATCAATCTTCATAGCTTATGAAGCAGAGCCAAATGGAGATTACTTACTTGCAACCAGAGTTCTTCAAGATGAACATTCACACTCATGAGATGCACTGGCTGGTGCAGATGCAATGGTGAAATCTACTTTTTGCAGTGCCTGTTAGAGCACTCCTGGTCCCTCCCCTCACCATTCCTGAGCATTCCAAGGGCAAGGTGCTTCCTGCCACCTCAGTCCTTTCACAGCTTCTGCAGCGTTAATATCTTATTAGGACTCTGAAGAAAAGGGGAAGGTGGGTCAAGAGTGTTAATATGCAGAGTCCATCCCAAAGAATTCTGGTTAAAAATGTAAGCAACCTCCATTTCTTCTTCATATGTACTCTGCACATTGCCACGCATGGGATACTTTAGTAAGCAGTATGCCTGACTGGGTAGTAGGACTTGAGGGTCTAATTAAGTAAATACAGAAGTGCCCTACCGAATGGAGCATTTGACTCAGATGTCAAATCCAATTAATAGTGTTTTGTAAAGGTCTGAACAGAGCTCAACAATGGGAACATGTCCCTATAGAGGTAGATATTGCTCTAGTTGAGTATGGCCTAACTCCAGCAGAAAGAGGAACTGATGATTTCTGATTATATCTCTGTTCTGTTCACTATCTCAGCCTCTAGATAACAACTGAGCAGAAATATCCTGACCTCTATGGCTTTTAGCATAAGATATAAAAAGTTTTAGGAGAGTGTCAAAATTTTCTTGTTCTATTTAGATAGTAAGCTAAGGTACTTTTATAGCATTTAAAGTATGTAGTTTGGATTATGTTTTATGAGCACGAGGTCTCAGAAAGAGAACCAGCATACTGACTGATTGATTAATATGAAACTCAACAACCACTTTAGGAAGGAATCTAGGATGAGGTCCAAGTACAACTTTATTTTATTGGTCTGTTAAAACAGCTTTTATGATAGCCATTACATCAGCAAGATGGATTAGCAAGTTGTATGTCCCATGACAGACTCACCATTTACTATGTTTCATAAAGATAAAGAGCAATCTGCTATTAGTTCCAAAGGAGGGCTCATGAGCTGTGTCAGGACCAAACTAAAACAGTGTCCTTTACTGGTCAATACATTTTTTTAATTGTGTCACGTGCCAAGAATTTTTTTTTTTTTAAAACTATAATTATGTGATAGGCTGCTACTGCAGCTAAATGCATTCAGAGAAGGTAGCTACAGGTCTAAAGACTTTGAATGCAGTAAATGTTCAAGGATACAATGAATTAGTGCCTGTACAGGATTTATATGTTTTTCCAGCTACCCACTTCACAAATCTACATCACTTATGTTCATAACATTTGCTGCACGTCTAAAGTGCAAGATATTTCAACATCTGTTAAAGCCAATGGAACTAGATGTAGCGAAAGAGGCTTCGGGTGATAAATCCTCCTGTCCTGTTGCAGAAGTATGCCTGGCATCACTGGCATAAGTATGTAGATCCCCTTGGAGAATTGATGAAGGTCTGTATATTACTGTTGTCTCTCACATGAAGGAGCAACTGAGATTATCCTGGCCCACTCACATCTTATTTTTGTAAAACCCTCTGTATAAAAAAGTGTAAAAGAGGAGAAAACACATAACAGGCCCATCCACCAATTCAGAAGGAACACATCCGACATTGGGAGAATGTCTCTCCCGTCTCTCAATTGGAAAAGAGGGCACTTCTTGTTCTGCCTGTGGCAAAGAGACTTATGTCCAGAAACCTCAAAAACATTCAATACATCCTACATTACTGAGTCCTTTAGAGACCATTAATGCACCTGCATCAGATCTCTGCTGAGTTGGCCAGCTTTGTCACTTCCTTGCCTGCTAAGAGCAAGGCAATTGGGTAGATGTTGAAGTGGACACAGCAGTCCCATAACTTGATCATCTCCTTGTACAGTTGAAACAAGTGAGCTCCTCCCTGCTTCTTCAGTTAATATATTGCTGTCTTGTTGCCCATTATGACTTGAATTGCTTTGTTCTGGATGTGAGGTAGTAATGATTTGAGAGCTAAACAGATAGTTCTCAATTACTGTACCCTCATATGTAATATCTTTTCTTGGTAACTCCAATGGTCCCGAACTAAGAGATAGTCAAGTTGCACTCCCTCATCAGTCTTTGAAGCTTCCAAAGTGATTTTCAATTAAGGAGTTGGGGGATTGAAACATGCCTCTTTCAGAACATTCTCTGGGTAGGTCCACTGTGACAGGAGATGAAAGAATTTCTTTAGGGATAGAAATCCTCCTGAAAAATGTCATCTTTGGGTATGTCATAGTTCTGTATCATCCCAATGCTGAACAGGCCTCTTTCTGAGTGTGGAATAAGTTGCGATGCATGTTGCAAGAGCATAAGACCCAACAGATGCAGAAAGAAAGTGATCTTTTGAGAAGGATTTTGATGTAATAGCCATATGGTAGAGAGTAGTTTCAGAAAGCTCTCTATTGACAGGAATGCTCTGCCTACTTGTGAGTCAAGGACTGCTCCTATGAATGGAATCTTTGACTAGGAAAGAGAAGGTTTTTTTTTCCATATCTATCAAGAGTCGTAACCTTCCAAAAGGGAAAATCTAATGTGTATGTCCCTTATAAGGCTCTCCTTTGATGAGGCTTTAAGAAACCAATTGTCTAAGTATCGGGAGACAAAAATACCCTATTGTCTCAAGACAAGCTCCTACTACAAAGAGGAACTTAGTAAAACCCCTACAAGTGGTAGAAAGGCCAAAAGTTAAGACCTTGTATTGAAGATAGTCATGATCAATAGTAGAGATATTTGCAGTGATTTGATCTTCTAGAAATATGTATCCTTTAGATTGAGAGCTACAAACCAATTTAGGGCTGAAAGGGAAGGATAACATGAGGCTACAGTCAACATACAGAACCAGAACTTCCTGACTTAAGTGTGGAGCTTCCTCACATGTAATATCAGATGAACCTCCATCCTTCTTTGGTATTAGTGAAATAGTTTGAGTAAAATCCCTGATTTCTGAACTCCCTTGGAACCTCCTCTATTGCTCCTGCCTGAATCAGATACTGGATTTCTGATCTTAGCACACTGTTGAGGGAGAAATCCCTGAATATTGAAAAAGGGGCAGGGGAGACGAAAGGAGGAGATCTTTCAAGGAGAATAGGTTTCAAACTTGGGCATAAACACTTTTTTATTATCCTCAAAACCCATTTGTCCAAACTGATGAAACTGTATGAATCAAGGAATTAAGAAAACCAGTTTTCCAAAGGGTAGGGAGGTGAGTATGTTATCAATTTGTTTGCAGCTTTTGATCCTCCTATCAAACTTCAGGCTTGACATTCAGCAGACGTAGGCGAAGGAAGCTTTGTGATGGCATGAGTGATGTCTCTGAGCCTAAGAGGACAAGGAGGATGGTGTATAAAGCTTTCAATTGTACCTGAACACAGGTCATGGAATTCTTCCTCCAAGACTGAAAAAGACACACTGATCTTGGTTGTAAGATTCTTATCCTTCATTCTCTCCAAATTTTTATCTTTCCTATTATTAAACAGGCCATCTCCTTCAAAACAGATGCACTATTTTAGATTTTGTCTCTGGCGGGAGAATGGAAGATCATAACCATGTGATTGCTACTGCAATCGATCTTACAACCAAGTCAAAAACATCAAAGGATACTGTGTGTTATACTACCCTCCATCCATCTGTATTAATGTAATTACTATATTGCACTGGTCTTCAGAAAGTGTCTTTGCAAACAGTACCACTTATGGGACAAAATGTTGATGATACCGCAACGTCACTGCCTGGTAATTTGCCACTCTCATCCTGAGGGTGAGGAAAGAAACAATCATTTTCCTCCCCACCAACTCCAAATTCCTGCCTTCCTTGTCAGAGGCCGTAGAATGCAAATGTCCACCTCTTGACCTGTTGGTCACTGCAACTACTACCAATAAATTATGAGTAGGAAGAATATGGAAGCAAGATAATCTTTCATATGGAATTTGATATAGCTTATCAGCATTTTTGAGAGCAGTTGACAAGAAGCACGATTAGATCAGATAGATTCTGCTGGTTGCCAGAGACCATCTAAAATTGGCACAGAGACTTTACTCAAAGTTAGAGCTGAGAATATCAAAGACTTGGTGAAAAGTCTCCTCTAAGGTAACTGATAAGAGCTTTAACGTAGGCACCATTCTATTTAGGAAAATCTGTAAGCTATACCGACATTCTCATCAGGAGAAGAATTAATCAAATTCTGGGTCTAGCTGCTGATATTCCATTTGTACCACAGGCGGCTTCCTCTTCAGATAAATATCCAGCCCTCTAACAGAATATTCTTCTATATAGACAGCGAAGGAAGAGGGTGACTCACAGGAGTCTCTCTCTTCTTTCTCCATGTGCACTTGCTTCACAAGCGTGACCAAAGGACCCAGACAAACTGACAACAACGGTTCCAAAAGCTTCTTCAAATCCAATGGAACCCTCTGAAGCAAGGAATGGGCAAAAATTATCCTGAGAGCTTTTACTCTTGTTACATGTGTATCTATTAGATTTGATCCTGCTCCAAGAGATGTGAAGAATCTCCAGCTTTGTCACATGCAATGGAGCCAGGGTATTCAGAGCCGATGCGCTCACATGGTTTGGCTCTTATGTACAAGGCCACCACCAGTGGCGGTAGTAAGTATGTAGATGTTGGATCTGCTGATTTTAGTATCAACAACATGATCGCTTTGGATCAGGAGTTTTGTGTCTTGTGCTGAACTGTTTTCTGCTTAGATCTGCAAGTATCTAGAGTTGACACTGGCCTCCTGTTCTTAGTCTCAGACCCTTCAGAAGAGTTCGAACAGACAGGAGTTGCAGCCAGAGCTGCTTGTAACAATAAGGCTTGTAGCCTATTCTGACATTTCTTTCTTGCTCATGGGGTAAAGGTGCTGCAGTTCGTACATCTTAAAGGAGAGTGAAGCTCACCCAGGCATGCTAGGAATTGAGTGCAAGCAATCTGATGCCACGAAGACCACTGCAAATGATGTGTACATTTTAAAACCTGATCTTTTCACATTTGGATCTGCATGCAACCAGTAGTTAGAATAGAAGATTTAAGTATAAAACAAAATTTATCCTAAACGAACAATCTAAACTTATAATAGATCCGAACCATACCTAATAGTAAAACTATCCCTAAAAAGCACTAAATCTTTTTTAGTGGAAGGGAACTGTATCCGTTCACATCTGTCTGCTGCTGTGGTTGGAAAGAACTGAGGCAGCAAGGAGCAAAACGCCCCCTCGGAACGTTCAGGAATGCTGAGGGAAAAGGGCAGGAGGAACACATGAGCCCTCTAATGCATACTGCTACAAGAAGGTTCCAACATCTAGGCTGCCCCCGCTGTCACACCCCATTGGTGGGAATATGCAGAGGACGCAAGAGAAGAAATATCATTTATAACTAGTCATTGTAGCTTTTTGCAAATTGAAATCCTGAAGATTGAGTTGGAAATACACATTATCGGAGAACAACCTTTTAAAATGAAAAAAACTTTTAATGAAATTCATGATTTTCATCTTGAAATAGATAGTCATTTCAGTATAATGCAAAAAACAGTATGGACTTGAAGCTTTAGATCACGGCCATAAGCAAATTACAGAACACCCAACATCTATACTTTGCCACATTTATATTCCTACACTACAAATAGAGGCTCAACATTAAGTAAGTGTGTTTTAGCCCCCTCCTTTAGTAAATATAATTTTGTGAATTTGGGGCTCTTGAAAGTTACAGACTGATGTCAGTAACTAGAGGCAGGCTGTATGGGTCAAATTCACAACTGCTGTAAGTGGGTGCCATTTCATTGCAGGCAACAAAAATACTAACAATCTAACATACTAATTTGGCATTTTTGGATGCAGTGGCAGATAGTGAGTCAGGGTATAGTAGGGTAGACAGTTGCTGTTAAGTGTGACTGTGGTAGCTCTTCCTCCTCCCAGTAAATGAAGTAACCTTTGCCTCAGTTCAAAAGGGGAAGAGAAAATACAGAACAAAAAGCCTTAGTTGCCACCAGGCTGCGTAAAAGCCATCTGCCATGACTGCCTGGGAGAAGGGGGCAGTTATGAGATCAAGATTCTAGGACTTTGCTGTATAATTTAGATCTAATGTGCTGCACAGGACCTGCTCGATTAAGCTATACAGTCTAAACAGAAATCATAATTAAAATGCTTACTATGTGACTGAGTCCAGTTTCAGCCATGTCAAACACCACTGTTAAAGGCTTCCCATGCTCTCTTCTGGCATAATGCTCTAACCAAAAGGCTACAAACTTCTTTTTTTCAAACTGCAGTTTAGGATCTTTTGTATGAAGCTTCACCCTGAACCAGACTACAAAGAAAACATATATGTATATAAAAAACTTCAACAACTTATCAGAATACCAGAATCATATTAGTGGTAAGTGTTAAGTGACCTCTTACAAAATCCACCAACTCCTCGATACAGCTATGTACAGTTTCTATATTGTCAGCCATTTCACAGCTGTTCTTATAGAAACAGTGGTAAAATAATGATCTTTTTGAATCTGGTATTTTCATACAGAACACAAGGTATAGAAGAAGAACAAAAGGGAAAATATAGTTTTTTATATATATATATATATATATATATATATATATATATATATATTTTTAGTTGAATGCTAGTAGTACAGTGAACAACAAATGAGCACACATTCTCTCTCTCTCTCTCCAAATGCTTCTACACAAAACCTGCATCTACCACGATTTGTTTCCTGAATAAAGTCTATAGTCATACAGACACTAAGAACTAATTTTACCAGATTCTGGATACAGTCACTATTGATAAGGTTGCGAGGCATTCTCTATTCTAACTTTCATTTTAGAGCAAGCATCAAAATTAGAACTTCTTGACGCCCAAACTTGGCTCACACCTCTGAAGCAAACTGCCAACAGTTCTTAAAATTTTCATCTTGGCATCTTGGTTTTTATCCACCCCTTCAGGGTGGATAAAAACCTATGATTTTTTTTTTTGTATTTAAATTAGATTTTTTTGTCTTTAAATTACACTACATTTTTCTTTCAAAAAATAAACCTCTTTAAAATGAAATCTGAATTTAACACAAAATATGTTAAAGCCTATACTTATAATATCTTAAAACATTTAAATAAAAGATTAATATACTGTTTGTTTAAATTCCAGTTACAATCCTAACACAACTTGATACAAATCATGAGCAAAAAGGTAATTATCTAGCAAATAAGCAATATATCATGCATCATTTTCTAACATATGGAAAATGAACAATAAGAATCTGAAAATATTGAGCTATAAATTGCTTAAATAAATATACATAGTTATAGGGTACCTGCTAGGTAGCAAAAAGGTGCACCAAATTTGGTGTAATGGCTTTATTTAATTGTGAATCAAGATGTTATAATCAACCAATGAGAAGCATCTTTCTTTAGAAAATAACTGAAGTACAAATGGAAAAATTGATTAAAATGGATGATTTAAATCAATCCACCTTAGAACACTTACTAAGAACTAGTGTCTATATTTGATTTGGGGGGAAATAAAGCCTAACTAACTACAAAATACTTTCTGAGCATGCTCATTGGACACCTTTTCGGGAGGAAGTGGGAGATCTGTGGGAGGCACAGAGTAATAAATCCCATGTCCGTATGACAACACTGAACATTCTCACTGTCTGTTGTCATTAGGTAACTCTGACAGGAACAGAAAGATGAAGTAGATTTTTAGAATTACATTTACATAGAGATACACACACTTCTGAAATAAACTGACCCTGCAAAAAGTCCCCAACACACATGGGAGAGAGGAGACAAGAAAAGCTCATCTGCTATTTTCAATCAGGTCTCACTGCATTTTTTTGCTATATTCTACATTTTGAAAATTCTATATTTTCATTTAAATGAAGTCTCTATCTTTTTCCACTGCAAAGATACAGACATCCTAACCTAAATAAATAGAAAATTGTTTCCAAACATACAATAGGAGCAAAAAAAAGGGACCTCACACATCACCTTTGTAATTTGACTTTTTTCAATGGGTAACTGGGATCATTTAAGTGCTATTATTAAGCACAAACAATTGTTTCCCCCTCCCCGCCCGCCTCATTCCCTATTTTATTATTTTAAAACAAGTTGAGGAGGAGTGGTTCATACCTCTTCAAGTGCTGCTACGTTCAATGAGATTGGGGAGGGGGAGGCAGGAGGAGGTAGGCAAATCTGAGACCTGAGTGGATACTACAGTACTTTGAGCGTTCTTGGGCCTGCATGCAGCTGGTAACCAAGGGATTTGCCATATGACAGACAGTTCTCTGGGCTGTCAAAGGTAACCTGGAAAGATGGTCAGGAGAACTGGAGGATTAAACAGGGAAAACTAATTACACCATTGCATCTGCAATGCCAGTGCTTGTTGCCTATACTGTTATTGCATAGGGGCAGTAAACTGTAATGGAGGGCCAAGGCCTTTCTCAGAACAAGTTCAATTCAAACAGTGATGTGAAAACTTGTGCACCAGTTCAAGTATGTGTAAGCATGGTGTGTTACAGCTGTACCAAATGATTGCAATGACAATATGCTGTCCTGTAGATGGCTATATATTCGCAGCAAAAGAGATAAAAACATTGCATTTTAATGGAACACTTTACAACTGCATTACAAAACTGGGATGGGAGGTAAAGTTTATGAAGGAAAACTGAATGTAACCTTAACATTGAGCTTTTGGGGATCATGAACGCTACAATGAGAAAGCTGAATTTCAAGCTACAAAATATGAATACTAAAGATTTTTCCTCTCTAGTAAAAGACTCTTGGACTCAACGAGCATGGCTGAAGGTCTTAACAATACATGATGAAAAATGCAAATGTAACCATTTGCCCATGATCTATGTCAGATATTCATTGAAAATTCACTTGATTTCCTCATTTATTTCCACAAAGGTAGTTCCTGATAAGTAATTACTTCCAGCATTTTAGCAGTCTCCAATATGAACATGTATAATTGTATATATAAAAACACTAATAGATAACTGAAAAAAGAAGAGTGCATGTAACTTACATAACTTGTAGCCCTCTTTATCATATCCATGCAGGTAAAGAGCACCATTTTCAAATAACCATTTTGGAAGGGCAGATTCAGACAAATCTGCAAAGCAAACAGGCATCCTTATTTTTGCTGTTTAAAAGTCACTAAAAAATACCATTTAATCTTAAAACAGAATAAGAAACTTCATATTCAAAATAATCTTCATATGTGTGAGATAAATGAATTGTAAAATAAAGGGATAAACCTATTTGCAAACTAATATTTTTTCTCTTTTTTGTTTTAAACTAAGCTAGAAAAAGGTTAGCATCTGTGTGGGAAGAGAGAAGAAAACCAAGTAGCTATAGATAGCTGGAGGAAAAAAGACCTACAAATATTTTGTTAGCATTGGCCTCCCTCCTGCATCCCCACTCTGTTACACCCACTTGTTGCAACTTTTCTTAATTTAGACTGTATGCTATTTGGGGCAGGCGCTGTCTTTGTGTGTTTATACAGCACAAAGGGACCCTGTTTTGATTGGAGCCTCTGGACATTACAGTAATAACTGCAATGATCACATTTCACAGGTTTAATTAGTTTTACTAATCTGAAAAGATTCTGCTTTCCTCTCAGTAGTAGAGGAGCTAATGAATTATTAGCTTATGACCCCTGCAGGGCATGCGTCTTCCCAGCTATGGACCACCTTCTCCTGAATAATTTTCAGACCAGAGGAGGAGAACTTTTATTCCCGTAGAGGTTTGCACCTGAGGAACACACAAAGAATTGAAGTCCAGCAAACTCCCCAACCCCTTCAAATTCCAAATTATCTTTGACCCAGTAGGCTATTGCATAACTCCACTGCCCACAACCCAGCCACACCAAATTATAAAGCACAACTAGTGATCGATATGTCAACTTGACAAAGAAGAACTTATATAACCATTTGCATTGGTACTTAATGAAACTGTATATAGGGCCTTAGGTATAATTCAGTGAGAAACTGACATACATCACCAACATATTAATTAGCAGTAAATGACATCTTACCGTTGACCATGTATTCTTTCCTCCACTGAAAGCTTTCATCAATCATCTTCAGTGTATCATCCACAACATCATGACGCCAAATTAAATAATTTTCAATCCAATTATCATCTTGCTGCAATCTTTCCACATCTCTGGAATCATATTTATCTGATTTATCTAGTTTAAAAAATGGAAATTTTTAGTGTTGTAAACATACAGCACTTGCTACAGAAATATTACAAAATTGAAACTAGGCAAGTTTTACGGCAGCAGTCTGCCTGGGAATACAAAGATCTCAAGATTTCAGCACATTTAAGCAAGCATGGAATAACGTAAGCTATTGAAAATGTTTATCGACTACATTAAAAAATGGAATTTATTAAGAAACTGACATAATATTTCATGGGGTTGGAAAGAAATGCATTATGTAAGTATTTTTCTTTAAATAAAAATCAAAAATTGACAAAAATAATTGTATCCGCATGACAAGCAGATAATTTTCTTCCGATCTTTTTCCTCAAATACACAGAAAGACTGACTGGTTTCTAATAGAATACTAAGTCTAGAAAGTCTGGAAGTCTCAAAAATTTGCAAGTGCACGCACACATCAGTTCATGTCTGGATTTTCCAAATTAGTTTATTATAGGCATTTATGATCCCTCAAGAAATGGCAAAATATATAAAAACTGACTACCATTCCCAGCTATGCTCTACACCATCATATTAAACAAAATTAAATGATACATTTCAAAGTGCCTATTGGTTATACATTTATCTTATTATTTTCCCCTTATATGTAATTTTTGGTTTAGATTACAAAGAACATCACAAGCCTTCCTACACAAGAAAGCAAACTGGTAGACATTTTATTGGAATTATTTTAAGGTCAAATCGGAGCTGGAGGGTTCCATACTTATGAAAATCAGATTATTGATTTAGGTGCCTAATTATGGGTTTTGATGCTTAACTTTAGACAACTACCTTTGAAAATGACCTGGGGGTATTGTTGTTGACTTGTTCAGATGAGAAGGTTCAGTTTTTAGATCAATGTTGACTTCCATAAAAATGGTATAAAATGAAAGTAGTAAAGAAAATTTATTTTGTAACATGGAATTGCACCTCACAACAAAATTTATTTTTTTTTGTTGGGTATCCAGATAATATGCTTTAACCTTATTGTCAGCCACTGTTCAACAGAAGTAATTTTTTTAACTTCTTGTTGTGGTTTCTAGCTCTTTGGATGCAGTGACTGTCTAATTTTATATATATATATAAAAAATATACACATACACACACACACAGATACAGTGCTTAGAATAAGAGCAAAATGGAGAAAATATATTTCTGCAGGTTCTGAAAGATTTCTGAGCATCTCTCTTTATTGTGTACTGAAAAACTTTTTAATTTCTCTTTGCTGCTCATAGATTTTATGTTGACTTCCTACTGTGGTTTTGCTCTCTGAAGCTACCGCTATATATGATTATACCTAAAAAACGTGTTTCCTTTCTCAAATACTTTTGTTAAACCTCAATTACTGGAGGAGGGAAAGACTGCTCCCTATTTCCGCAGCAAGCAACTCAAACAGCCTACCATTAAGAGCATTAAAGGTGAAAAAGAGAGAAAACGTTTATTGAAAAATAGTAAAACTTATTAGATGATCCAGGATGACTTCTGTTACTACATAGACTCCACATATGGATTTGAAGACCTAACACATCGTGTTTAATTTTTACCAAATTGAGAGTTCAAAATTGATATTTTACCATTATGTTGGCTGATATTTTTATATGTAGATACTGATGAGTATATATAAATACATATAAAATATATCAATTATATATATAAATAAATCACAAACACTAGGTCAAAAGAACTTTATTAAGTTTGCAAAATCAAGCACTCAGAAGTTAGGAAATCCCAGAATTAAGGCTGCCTGTACAACCTTAATTTGGCTCCACTGTCTGTATCCATTATGATATAGCCTTTCATTACACGATCATATATTATTTTTATAATAGGAAGTGCTAGGCAACCTTAACAGTAGGCAGTTCCACCTGTAATAATGTAGTGTGGCATAAAGGTTTTATTTGCACATATTTCCATTTAACTCAGTGGTTACATACCCTAAAATAGAATTTGGCCCTAAGCCTATCAGAAAGTTATCCTAATTTTTATTGATTAGAATGCTAGAGTGAGGGGTGAAATAGAGGTAACAAGCACACAACAAAAGATGATTTGTTGAACCCTGAAGTTATCTGCAAAATAACGAAACAAATAAATTGATTAATATTTGCTGAATGTCTCAAATAGCCATTAATTTATGTCCACTCTGCTAATGCAGAAGTAATTTTGTGGAATGGACAATAAATAGAAAAAGAGAAGGGTTAGCATGGTTATTTGTACAACTCACACACACTGTAAGTTCCTCTAAATTTTTGCTGAAGTGATAAGGAGAGATTCTCAGTCTTGTGACATTTACTTTTTAAGATCAAGTACATTACTGTTAATGACAGGTTTCAGAGTAGCAGCCATGTTAGTCTGTATCCGCAAAAAGAACAGGAGTACTTGTGGCACCTTAGAGACTAACAAGTTTATTAGAGCATAAGCTTTCGTGGGCTACAACCCACTTCTTCGGATGTAGCCCACGAAAGCTTATGCTCTAATAAATTTGTTAGTCTCTAAGGTGCCACAAGTACTCCTGTTCTTATTACTGTTAATGTGAACATGCGCCTTTTAACTCAAATTTTCTACAGTTTAACCATTGAGAATTACCATAAACTACACAGTTGTAAAATATTCTTGCTAGACAAGCTTTGTACCCTAGTTATATTTAGGCTTGGCAGAATTCAGTATTTGTTTTTGTTATTTTAATGGATATCATTGATTTTTATTTATTTTAATTTTCTCAGTTGAATGAAATTATGGGGCTTTGTTTACTTTATTTTTATCTACTTGAATTTTCAGAGTTGGGGGAAATCAAGGTGGTGGGGAGGGGTCAGACAATTCTTTAATGACATCCAGTCCCTGCAGGTGCAAGATGCAGAAAAAGCTGAGATCTTGGCTGGGCAGACCATAGCAGAGCAGCGACACCCCACCCCACCCCTCCAGGATTAAAAGGAGGGCAAGCCACAGCTACGGAGGAGGCCACCCTGTTGCAGTATAACTCCCACACTCCCAACCATGAGTGAGTGAGCAGCACTGGGACAGTGGGTACTGCAGGGGGTTCCCTGCAGGCAGTGACACCCAATTCCTGCAGGCACAAAGTAAGATGGGAGAAGACCACAATCCTGGTGGGACAAAGCCAGGATCACCTGGCGGAGGGGAAGACCACACTGCTGTCTTTGGCCCCGGGGCTGTGCAGGGAGCCCCCTGCAGCCCCACTGTCAATACCTGCTCACTCACTTATCAGCCAGGGAGGGGGGACATCCCCAAGCAGGAGCCATTTTGCAACAGGATCACCTCCCCCGAAGGCAGGGGCCCATCCTCCTCCTTTTCCTGCACCTCACAGTCCTAGTCCAGGTCTCTGCTCTGCCTCACCAGGATCAGGACCTTCCCCACATCTTGGGCCTGCAGAGATTGGGATCCCTGAAGGCGCTAGGTCAGGGGTGGGCAAACTTTTTGGCCTGAGGGCCACATCAGGGTGCGAAACTGTATGGAGGGCTGGGTAGGGAGGGCTGTGCCCCCCAAACAGCCTGGCTCCTGCCCCCTATCCGACCCCTCCCACTTTCCGCCCCAACTGCCCCCCTCAGAACCCCCCACTCATCCAACCCTCCCCCCCCCGTCCCCTGACCGCCCACTCGCAGAACCCTAGCCGCCCCCCGGGACCCTGCCACCCATCTAACCCCCCTGCTCCCTGTCCCCTGACTGCCCCACCCCCTATCCACACCCCCGCCCCCTGGCACCCCAACCCCTATCCAATCCCTCCTGTTCCCCATCCCCTGCCCCCCCCAAACCTCTGCCCCCTGACTGTCCTCCAAGACCCTCTGGCCCCCTTACCATGCGGCTCAGAGCAGCATGTCTGGAGCCGCACCTCCCGGCTGAAGCCGGACACGCTGCCGCGCTGTCCTGCATGAGCACACAGCCCCGCCGCCCTGAGCGCTGCCCGCGTGGCAGCATGGCTGCGGGGGAGAGGGAACAGTGGGGGAGGGGCCGGGGGCTAGCTGCCCAGCCAGGAGCTCAGGGGCCAGGCAGGACGGTCCCGCGGGCCGTAGTTTGCTCACCTCTGCGCTTGGTGCAGGGGAGGCTGTGTTGGCCAACAGCTAACCATGGATATCTGTGTCAGATGAAATCAAGATTTACTGACCAACGATTTAGATTGAATCCTGACAAACCAAGTTATAGTTAAGGTGCAGCAGAGCACTTTATAATTTTTTAAAACAAGGTATAATCACAATGCCTTGGCCCTGCAGTCAGCTCTAGTCCTAAAACTGGAATATCAGACTACTCCACTTTGCCTTTTGCAGGTTCTCTGCTCTCTTAAAATGTATTTCAGAGTACAATGGTCAAGAGAACGAGTGATTAGGAGCACTTGTTTGAGACAGGTAGAAGCTTACATAATGCATCTACTTCTATGGGATGTATCTTAATATAAATCTGCACCCTACTTGCTATTAGGGATGTAAATATTGTTAAAAAATTAATCGTTTAAACAATTAAAATATCATTTAAACGGTTAACTGATTAAAGGGAGAGGGGCTGGGGTTGCTCTGGCCGGCAAGGTGGGGGCTGGGGTCAGTCAGCTGGACATGGGACTGGGGTCGGCTGGCCGGCCGGTGGGGCAGGGACAGGGACAGGTGTAGCCGGGGAGCCAGTGGCCTGCCGGTGCCACATGACTGGGGGTTAACAGTTAAGGTCAGTTAACTGGTAAGCCTAATGCTTACCGGTTAACATTTTATATCCCTACCTAATACTGTGTTTCTGGGCCACTTATAACTGTCAATCATAAAACTGGAAGGGACCTCAAAAAGTCATCTAGTCCAGGCCCCTGAAGTAAAGGCAGGACTACGTAATAACTAGAACACTCTTGACAGGTGTTTGTCTAACCTGTTCTTAAAAATCTCCAGTGATGAAGATTCCACAGCCTCCCTAGGCGATTTATTCCAGTGCTTAACTACCCTGACAGTTAGGATGTTTTTCCTAATACCCAACCTAAACCTCCCTTGCTACATTTAAGCCCA